TTTTAAAAAATTAGCCTTTTCAAAATGTCGAAAGTTTAAAATAGGTTGTGTCTTTCTAATTCAAATACACATTTTACATCAAGGGTATTTTTTCTTAACAGTAGATTATTAAGTATATTTGAATTTACATGTAAGACATGTACTGTGTATTTTTACTCAATACTTGTAATTGTATACTCATGGCAACAGCCCGCACAATTAAGTAATTGTTTAAGGTACGAAAAATAATTTTAATATTAATGATGGTATAGAGCAATTAGTTTGAATTTTTATGTTTGAAAATAACAAAATTATAAGGTCCATGTTGGTTTTTTTTAATAGAATAATCAAATGTTATATTTTTTTTCATTCCATTATTGTTCTTCTCTAAAAAAATAACAAACAAATGGAATAAGGCGGAATATGTGTGGAATTTTAACTGTTAATAATTACTAATGAATTTGTGTTTCTGCGGCTTTACTGTGAAATTTTGATTTTCATTAATTTTCTAAAAAATTCATTGTTTTTCTTTCTAATATCGTAAAGGAAAATTATTAATTTTTTAATCTTAACTTTTCATGGGCAAGTAGTAAATTTATAATTCTTGTATAAGTTTTTTTTGTTTTCAATTTTCTCATAACCTTTAGAATTGATTTGATAGTACTTATATACAGACTTGTTCATGAAATATATATGTATGTGTATATAGGTATAATATGTATGAATGCATACTGTTCAGAACAGTAACAGGACCAGGAAAATAAGAAAATATTACAATAAATATTGCAATCTTGCTTATTTTTCCGATGTGATGAATATTTTTATATAAGAAATTCCTACCCTCTTTCATCATTTCTTAATACCCGAAAATATATTTAACACCCCCTTTATTTTTTTTTTTTAAAAGATCGTGGTAAGAGACAAAATATTGTTTTTTTTTTCTTAATTTTATTTAAACTCTCTCTTCTATTTCTACCAATAATAAATTTGTGTAATCAAGTGTGAAAATTAAAAAAAGAAAAACAAAAGAGAATAACTTATGTCATATGAATAAGAAAGTTAATACTACATATTATATATATATGTATGTATGTATTAGTATTTTATATAAGCATGTAAATAATCCTGTTAACATTATTATTGTCTTAAGGAACTATGAACACACGCAATATTTATTTCAAATTAAATTAATGCTCTAAATTGTGTATATGTATATGAAAACGTACATGTACATATATGTATATATTAGCTCGTGAATTTATATTTATATATTTTAAATGTGTTAACTTCTGCATCAATGAGTCGTACCTTATTATTATTATTATTATCTATTCATATTAAAAAAAAATATACAAGTAAATATTGTACGAGTGTGTATAGAGAAAAAAAAATCATAGCTATGTAGAAAAATTAAATCAACACATATGAACATGTGCATTTTAAAGATAAATAACAAAAAAAGAAATAATAAATAAGCAAAAGAAAAGAGAAGAAAGGATCTACTAAATAACAAGTAACAACAACAACAACAATAACAAACAAAACAACAACAAATAGATTTTATACATAAGAAATAGCAAAAAAAAAATTAATCTTTATATTTAATCTGCTTTTTTACTGTTATCTTTAACGTTGCACACTGCAGACAAAAATACAACTATAAAATAAAATCAAAGAAAAGAAGGTATACAACAACAACACCACTAATAATATAAAAGAAAAAGTAAAAAAGCAAAACAAAACGAATTAATGTACGTTTATCCTTTCAAAAAAGAAAAAAAAATCAAAAGAAAAGAAAACCAAAAAATTCTTAACCCTCTTAGAATTTCATATTTTATCTACAGTTATATATTTTTTTAACTTATATACTCTTACTTAGAGGGTAATAAAATAGATATCCATATTTTTCCTATCTCGTCGTACATTCATACAAGCAAACATTATTTAAAGTTATTATCGATTTGATAGCAAAAAACCCCGAAAAGAAATGAACACAACAGCCACTTGCACATCACACTTAACTATAATTCGTGTACATATATATCTAGCTTATATACTTGTAATCTGTTAGTATATATACATATATGCATTTTACAGTGGGGCCCAAAAATTTTTCTTTTATTATAATTTAGGCAATGTTTTCGGATAAAAGATTTTTACAAATTTCAGTTTCTATAACAATTTTCTTCTTCTCATTATTTCAATTAATTCTAGCTCATAATTATTAAATTTAATATAATAGACTGTAAGAAAGATGAATTTAACTCTAATTCAAATAAAACAATATCAAACAAATTTTAAAAATATTTCGCATTGAAATTAAAAAATATTATGTGATCAACACGTAACCGACCGCAATGTGTATATTATCTAGTTAAAAGAAAGTGTTATACAGACGATTATAAAAATATCTTTGAAAAATTTCTTTCCAATTTTAAGGGTGTTAGTAAGCTTTCAATTAATATATTTAGAAAAATGTAAATTTGGTTTTTTGTAGAGTTTTACTTGGTAACTATCCAAATTTCCTGAAACCCTTGCCGGTTAATTTCTATAACAACCAGGATTCAAATATCAAATTTCAAGAAATTCCATCAATTATTTCCTTATATATAATAAAAAGATTTAAATTCGGCCATCAAATCCGAGAGTTATGAGATAAACAATGTTATAAAGAAAATTAATGTAGCAGACGGAATATGAGGTTGTACTTAATTGGTTTGGAAAGTATTAGGATCTTAAAATTAATAAAATTATTAATTAAAAGAATTCTTAACTTTCAAAATTTCAACACTATCATAACAGCAGAAATAATTTTTGATCTCACTGTATTATTGAGCAAAATTTATATTACATTTATATAGGTAAGAACGTGTATGGTATTTTTACCGTTAACAAATGGTGAATTATAATGGTAAAGTAATCGTATTAGTAGTGAATAAAGTCAAAAAACAAAAATTTTTTTTTTTAACTAACTAACTGTAATTGATGGGTTAAGGGTATAAGCAAACTAACTTTTTAAGCCAAATTCTTTTTCTTGTTTGTTTCTTTTTAATTTTGTACGCATTCGAATTTTTAATGGTGTGTGAAATCGTTTTAGCGCTCAATGTTTTTTCTTTGTTGTTGTTGTTTTCTTTCTTTTTTTTTGTATTAACATTAAACTTATAGACAATAAATGCTTAAGTTGAAAGTTAAAAGATTTTGTTGTAGTTGATTTTTTACTTTCCTTTCTTTTTTTGCTGTTTGGTAGAAATTAGAAGAATTAATGAAAAGGATTCAGGAAAGGATATAATATGTTTATATATGAAAAGAAAATTTTCATATAGGGAAAAATAGAAAGAAAATTTTTTGCATAAATATTTTGCTGTTCATATTGTTATTCTTTTGGAATATAGTAGCGAAAAAAAAAATGTGCATTTCATTAATTGTATATAGGAAAAAAAATATGTATTAAATTAGGATATTAAACTCGAATTGCAAAAAAAAAAATGATTACAAAGAGGGTAAATTTACAATGTATAATTTCGAACAGTTTTGTATTTTTGCATAATATGTGTATGTGTAAAAACAGTCATAGAGCAAAGTTGAAAAATATAAATTTTAAAGGAAAATTGTGACTGTTGTTACAACTGCTTCTTAAGTATCGCTCGGCTTAAAGAGTATTCTCAGCAATTGTTGAAGGGAAATTTAAAATTAAATTAAATTTTTGTGGGGCACTGCTGTTTAAAAACTAAGAGCAATTTATCTTGAAATATAACATACATAGCTGCGAGATCCTGCAATTTATTTATTGTAGCATTTTTATCAGCATAGCTATTTTGCATTTTGTTTTTTTTTTTTTTTTAAGTAAATAATGAAATTTTAGGATTCTGAATATTTTAGGTCGTGTCGATGTTTTTCTAAATCATATATTTTACTAAACAAAGTCATAGAAAGAATGCGCAGTGTAATTTAGAATAAAGTATAATAGAGAGCACCTAAAAGTATGCAATTTTTTTTGGGAAATATTTTGTACAATTTTTGGTGTCAATTAATTTGTGAAAATTACTTTGAAACCCTATACAATGCATTATCTATCTTTTTAGTAATAATGTCACAATTGAAAATACTCTCTTAAAAATGTTACAAAAAGAGAATTCCCCCAACAATTCGCTTTTGCATGAGAGTAAATATTGTTTCTATAAATCAACTTAAAATTTTAAATTGACCGTAATTCATTTATGTTTTGTGTAATCATTGAAATTATTTGAGTAACTTTTTTCTTATACTTTTGCACTAAACTGCACATAACTTAACTGAGAACATATTTTTCTGTTAACTTAATACATTTTTAATTTTACACTGCTATAAACTCTTTGATTTTGAACATGCTTTTAATATTTCCGTTTGTTTTGATATTTATGAGTCCTTATATTTATTTTTTTTTGTTTTTCTAAAATTTAATTCGATTTTCTTATGCAATCGGAAACTGTAAATTTTTATTACATTTAGTATGTTGGTAGTACTCTTTGGTTTTTTGCTTAAATGGTTGCATTTTTAATTTTATATGTGAAACACAAGGAATAAATTAATTTATTGAAAATGGAGGTTGTAAGGAGTAAAAACAAGTAATAATAGAAGGGTTACTCGAATATTAATTTGAACATTTTATGGATTACCTAGTAAACAGTAGGATATGAGACTAAAAAAATGGTTGTTTTAGTGGAAAATTTCTCTAATTGGTGTTTTGTATATGACGTAAAAACTTGTATTTCTATGCTTGTAAGAAATTCAAAATAATTTTGAGTAAAATTATGTTACAATGAATTGAACTTCAAATAAATTTTTTGCAATATAATTTTAAAATGTTTGTTCAGTAGCAATTGTTATATAGGTTGATGTATGATTAATAATTTCATTAATGTTTTCATATATCCGACGGATTTATTATCCGTCGGATTACGAGAGGATCTTTTTTAGTATTTAAGACTAAGTCATAATTAAATAGTCTGATAATTTATAATTTAAATTTAAAATATACTTACATTATGTAACTTATAATAAAGGCCACAAGCATTACACACTGGTTCACCGCTAGCATTCCTTCGCCAGAGTGTTGTTGTGGTAGTCTTACAGTTTGCACACGATGTCCCCGCACGTTTCGCAGCGCTCTGAAGTGACTGCAAGGTCAGAATTTTGAAAAGAAAAAAAAAAGTTCACAATAATTATAAATGTAGGGATAATTTTATTTTTATATATAAAAATTAAAAGCCTCCAAATGTACTCAATGTTGAACTATATATACGGAATAGAGAAAATTAAAATTTATTAATTAGGGAATAGTTTTCAAATTTTTCATTAATTTCAATAATATACAGCTGAAAATTTATGTTGAATATTTATTTTGAATTTTCTTCCCACCTCCAAATAATCTAAAAAATTGATTTATTCAATTGAAATTGTTTTTGGGAGTTCGCGTATGGGAAAGTGAAATGATTAAAAAATTTAAAATTTTATCAGAAAAAAGAGAAGTATACAAAAGTATTCTGCAACTTACTTTAACTAATTTTAAAAACATTGTGATTATTAAGAAATAAAGTATTATTACATTTTTTTCTTGTACCCATGTTAATAATCAAAATTTGAAATTATCGTTCAATTGGCGAATATTTTTGTAATACATATATGTAATAGAAATGATCTTTTCTAAAAAAATATGAAATAATTTTAGTTTACTTCATGTTTAGGATAAATGCAGAGGCCGTCGGCTTTTTATCGCATCTAACAAAAATTATAAATTTGATTGTAATTAATTTCATAAAAAAACTTTTATATTCAGCATTTAGTATAACAATTTAACGTATATTTCATAAACAATATAACACATTTAAACATAATATGAAACCTTGTTCCATATATTTTGTATTGCAGATTGTGAATACAAATGAATGATTCTTAGCAAAGGGAAACGAATTGAAAGGCAAAAAATTTGAACGTAAATTCTTCTTCAAAATGGTATCGAATTAGTTTCTGTAAGGTAAATTTTATTACAACAAATCAAAAGTTTTTAAAATTCTTTTAATTATATTTGAATTTTTATAATTAGTTTGTTAAATATTTTCAAAATGATATGACAATGGTATGACGATGATTATTATGCTTTTTTTTGAATATATATATATATATATATATATATATATATATATCTATATATATAGGCATATTTTCTTTAAAACGTTAAATTGGTCAGTGCTGGAGCTGTTAAGACCAGGAGGAGGAGAAGGCGGTAGCTGATATCCTTCACTTATGTCCAGTTTTGGCAGGAAAAAGGCGGAAACGCCTTAGTTCATTTTTTTTACACTACTACGAATCTGGCGAATGTAAATGTCAGGGGCCTTAACCGGTTTCTGAAAAGTTCGGGCTGGTTCTCGTGAGGGTGGTGAATTTTGTGGATTCAATCATAACATTCAATTCAGGTCTATAAGTACCTCACGGTAGCCGCGTTGATCTAACCTAATCTAATTTAAAATGTAATATAACACTCTTATTTCGAGAGTATTTCTTTAATAAATATAAAAATATAAAAATAACATCGAAAAATTAAAAAAGTGTTAGATAATTTACTTTTAAAAACAAAACATTTTATAATTTAATGTAATTTATAAAAATGCACATAAAAAACTGTGCAAATTTTAATTAAAATAAAATAGAGCAATCAAATTAACAGGGGATTTATCAGAATATTGAATAATATAGGGAAGTGTATTAAGTCGAATATAATTTATGCATAAATCAATTTTTAAATCATTATCTCACCGCAGAAATTTTTCTAGACTATTTGTTATAAATTGTCATATGCATATATGTGCATTTTGTTAAGAAAAACAAAAATTCTATTCGATGATGGTACCAATGCCCCCATTAAGTATTTCCTTTTTCATTTTAAAATAAGAAATTTTAATTGAAATATTAAAAATTTAAAATTTCTGCTATATATAAGATCTATTTCTTCATATATAAGATCTGAAATTGTGCGCCATTATATGTAGTTGTGTGCCATCATAGTTGCCAATATGGCTCATATAATATTAAAAATTAAAATTTTATTTAATGAAAAACAAATTTTTTTTAATAGTTTTTCTTTTTTTTTTTTTAATTTAAAAATTATTTTAATTAAAAATTTTTTTTATTTATTTATTAATTTAAGTATGGCGAGAATAAGATTTTTTTATTATGTGCATCTCCAGTTTTTTTTTATGAAAATAAAAATTAATGGATTTTTTTTTTCATCAACCAAAAGCAAATAACCACCGTCTTTTATAGTGCATGGCAATTTTTTTTTTGTTATTATTTATTAAAATATTAATTTAAAAACTTGAGGAGGAAAATAAGAAAAAACTTTTTTAAACAACAATTTTTTTTTTCTTCAACTCAATTAATAATAAAATAATATTTATATTTTCATCTTATAAATAAATTATTTGAAAAAAATTCTTGTATGTACCAACAAAGATGAATGTTTTTCGCGCATAATATTTTTATTTTATTTTGTGAAACAAATAGATTATATAATATAGAGAGTGTTTAATATATGAAGGGTAGAAATATTATGAAAATTTATTTTCTTAAATATTCTAATATATATATATAAAATGTATTTAAGAATATTATATACATGATATATACTGTTTAATCCTGATGAATGATTATGATATAATCAAGAAAAAAAAAAGGGAATTTCATTTTAAAATGAGAAAGAGAAAATTGCCGTCGGGATTTTTTATTAAAATAAATACGAGTATGCATATATACATAATATAATCATAAATCTACTCAATAGAACACTATTATTATTGTGTGTATATAACATAATTATTATTTTTAAGAGTACTAGTAGATGCTACCAATCTGTATTTAGATGTATTCATATATAAAATACAAGCAGCTCTATATTATATAATGAACTATAATTCATCTCATCTACAGTTGTTCTATTATCTTTTTAAATCTATAAACTTAAATATATAAGTGAAAACATTATACATATAGAATATTTAATATGAGTATAAAGTATGAGACTCGTACATCATTTATTTTTCTTTTCCTTCTACTTCTTCTTTTCTATACATTTTTGTTTATTATTATTATTTATTCTATTATTTTTTTTTTTTTATAACTAAACTCAAAGCTTTCAACAAACATAAACTTTTCAACATTATAGTTATTTTTCTTCTTATACATACAATATTATTTTTCACTATTCTAACTCTGATATTCATATACAAAGTATATATTTACATATGTATATTGTACATTAATATGAGGGTATATGTATATACCGGAACATGATTTTTAAATACTTATACATACAAACATATATAAAATTTATAGACATATTATATGGAATGCCCTCATATTGAGGTGAGGTGAATATGAAGAAAATATATAAAAAAAAAAACAGGAAAATTAAAAAAAAAAATTGTAATTTTTTTTTTTTTTTTGACAAGGAAGTCAATAAACGTTAAAATTATGAAAATATTTGTATTAAAAGATAAGAAGGTTGATAATTATCATTCTTTATCTAAAATTGTATTAATATTTATATATATATATATATATTTGCTTGTACTTATTTTAATGTACAGAGACGGTTAGGTCAGGTACTACATTAAGTATATATAAAGTATGCAATATAAATTTTCAGTATATATAAAATGAGGAAAAAAATATGTTAGTATGTTTGTTTATGAACAATTGGAATTAAAATTTTTTTTCGTATATTTTCGCACCTATAAAAATAGATTTAAATAATTTCGAAAATATATTTTATATGCGTGATTTATCAAAAATTTGTTTTTGGGTTCGGTATGATTTGTATTGGAATTTTAAAAGTTTTTAATTCAAGTTAGTTATTTTAGATGTTTGATGTTATTTGAGGGAACTGAACTAATGATATTCAATAAATATTATAGAATTTTGATGGTTGAGCTTCAGTAATTCAGTACATTAGAGTTCATTTACAAGTATACAATAGTAAATTTTATTGTATTCCTGAATGAAAATATGTTGGAGTAAAGTGTTTTTTTTTTCCATAAGAATGAAGCCAATTTTTCTTTATTATCAAAGATACTACGAGTATAACATGTATTTAGCATTTTTAATCAAATTTCGTGCAATTTTAAGAATAAGACACAATTTTCACAAAAATTTATTAAAAAAATTGAGGCGAAACTTGTTTTAGCAAAGAAGAACTTCGTGAAAAATAAAATTGTGAATAACAAAATCTTATTGGTTGTTATTTAATTTGCTAGAGAAATGCCGGAACTAATATTATTATGATAATAATAGAGAAAATTTCAAGTTTTAAAAATTTTATGAAAAATATACAAAATTATTTTTGTATAACAGTCTTCCCTTTACTTTTCCTAAATGTATATATAATGAATGAAGATATTTTAAAATTTGAAGAAACTCTTCTCAATTTGTATGACACTTTTATTTTTGTTATACATATTTATTTTAAATGTGTAATAAACTTAGTTAAGTTAAGTTTAACTAAAATCGATGTATAAATGAATAAGATTTACAAGAGCTTTATAACAGAATTGAATTTTTTCTGATTGTAGTAATTTAATACTATGTATATGTGTATAATATATAATAAATTCGCGGTATATGACTACCTATTATTTATGGTATAAAGAGAACTGAACGTGTGTATGTAATAAAGGTGTAAATTATAAACGAAATGACGATACTTGTATTAACTACATAAATTTTTTATTCAAGTATGACGTGTATTATTTTAATGATGTTAACATTTAAAATTGATATTTATTATTTTATGGCTTGCCTTTCATTGATACGTACATATTTGATTGTATACGTATATTTATATGCATGTATTTGTGTGAAAAAATTAATGTGTGTGCCATGTGAAAAATCATTAAAAAAAAAATTACTTTTTTTGTATAATAATACTAAGTATAAAGTTGTAAACGGCTTAATTTTTTTTTAATGAAAAAGTTAAGTGCAGATTCAAGTATTTATTAATAGAATAGAATACCTTTATATTTAAGTTTAAAATATTTATAGTGACGCTTCTTTTTTAGCACTTTTCCACAAAAAATTTTTGAAAAAAAGTGTTTATTCGTTTCACTCTGTCCGTCCGTTCGTGTGT